GTGTGTGTGTGTGTGTGTGTGTGTGTGTGTGTGTGTGTGTGTGTGTGTGTGTCGTCACTTCACAGGTATCCCAGTTTGGCTCGTGACTAAATAATTCAGCCACCATCAACAGTCTCCACGTTGACTTTCCGCTCTGCTCTCCTTCACCTCTGTCCTCCACATCTGATTGTTTTTCTTCTTTTGTCTGCTCTCCCTCGTCTTCTCTCTCTTCACCTCCTTCCTCCTCTGCTCTGTTCGCACGTTTTTTACCCCCCCTACTCTGAAATCATTCTCACCTTCCCACGGCTCCATCTATAGTCCTGAAATCTTTCTGTCCCCTCTTCTCGCTCTTTCTCTGCTTTCTTTCTTTTTCTCAGTCCTGTGATTGTTCTCGTGAGTCATGATGAAAGTGGTGTCACGTGGCTGCCAGACTTGTTTCTCTATCTGTCACCTCTGACTCATCCAGTGTGTGTCTCTGCTGGGTTTACACACATCCACAACGATCTTTTTCCATTTTCACCTCAGCGTGCTTCTGTTGTTTCCACCTTTCTCTCTCCACCTTACTGTTTTTTTCGTTCGTCTCTGTGCCACACACACCCTCCTCCTCCTGTTGTTGTCAGTTTCCTGATGGGAGGACCTGGGTGGTCTCTCCTTTCCGACTGAGGAGGAAATGCCAGTCCAGTTGGCCCGTAAGTGAGTTAGAAGGTGCTCGTCTTGTAGGTGGTCTCTGTCGTGGTGTTAGACTAGAATAGTCCCCGAGTACAATGCTGTTGGTTTGATGAAACACGTGAATGTTTTTGTTTATTGCAGATGTTTTTGTTATTGTGTTGACACAAAAAAAAACAATATCTGCTCTTCACATAGTGAATACAATGAAGTGTGGGAGGAAGCTAAACAAAAAGCATCTTATATGACAGTCTGCCTTTCTGTTACTCTTGTAATTCATCTTCTTTTGAATCTCAATTTGTTTCCTCACTCACTGACGGCCTCCCTCATCCCCTGTATGGATAGCCTGTTAGCTCCAACGTGCTGAGCTCCGAGTGTGTGTGTGTGTGTGTGTGTGTGTGTCATCAACCCACGCCAACGTACCGTGTTGCAGCTGCTTCCCTCTCTTAAAGGGCTGGTACACTCCGTGATAGCAAAGAAACCTACAGAAGCTTTTCTATACATTATGCAAAGAGCCTCTTGCTTGTTGGAAAGGAGAACAAAGGAAACAACCCATCCTGTTGTTGTGTTGTGCTTTGACTGAGGATGCTCTCTGTCTGACTGTCCCGGCATCCTGGCTCTCCTCCCATTCCCACCTCCTTCCTCGCTCCTCATCCTCTCCCCGTTTGGCCGATGCAGCGACTCATCCCTCGCTCTGCATACCTTCGCTTTGCTTCCCAGGATTTAGTAAAAAAAAAAAATACACTTATATTTGAACACAAAAAAAAACCCATCGGGCTTTAAACAGCACTTTCTTTGTACCTCTTTGTTATTTTTCCAAATTTTTCATCTCTGTGTTCCAACTCTGCTAACCGCCAAAAAGGATTAAACATCCTTTTACACTGTCTTAACATTTTTACACCAACCTGATGTCAAAATTCACACTTTCCGATGTCTCTCTCAGCAACATTTCCTCCTATATGCATCCCTAATTTTCATTTCCTGTCTTGTCTTTTCTTCTCCTGTGATCTCCCCTTGTCTGTCTCCTGCCTGCTGCTTGTCTCTGTGCCTCTGGCCTCTCCTCTGTCCCTCTGGCCCCCTCTGCTGTGGTGGGGGTGTAAAAACAGCCTCAAGACGACAGCACCTGGGTGTACTCTCCACTACACTATGGCTCAGAGTCTAAGGCCCTGCCAGATGGGGATTGGGAGAGAGAGACAGTAAGTGAGAAGCATCGGACTAAAATGTAAAGTACAGGGGAAGAAAATCCCTCAGGCGAGGAATGAAATCAGTCGTGTTTGGTCTTCAGAAGGATGGAAAGGATCACTTGTTTCTTTACCTGCCTGAGAACCTTCTGCAGTAAATGTGGAGGAAAAAAAAGCTTCTCAGGTTCAAAAAAGGTTAACTCCAGAGAGAATAGGCTGGCACTGCATCCAGAAACCCACCTCTGCATCACAGCATTCATTCCTCATTGACGAGTGGGTGGAAATGGTCACATGCGGTTTGCGGTACCATTCAGTCCACGACCAGCCGTCCTGTGTCCCTCCAACAACAAGCTGCTCAGTGTTTGCTTTGCCGCGTCGCTGCACCAACGGAGGAGTCACATTTTACAGAACACGGACGGCATTTTAGGCAATTTGGGTGATTGTTTCCATGCGATAATATATTAATTATAAGCATTTTAGTTTACTGAAGGAGTTGAGCGTTTATTTTCAGTGTTAGGATTCATATGTTAAATGTTCTCATCCCAGATAGAGATATCTATCTGCCTCTTGGGTCAATCTGACAAAGTTAGATGAGAAATGGCGTCGCTCTCTCTGACTGGTTCCCTTTAGAGGTTTTTATGCTGCTTGTCGGCTGTGTTTAGTGGAGCAGCATTTGCATTTGATAAGGTGTCATCAACCATTGAATCCCCCCCCAACTCATTTTATTCCTCATCCTCTCAGACACATCTTTACACCAGGGAGCATGTTTTTGTGCGACATTCCTGATCAAGTTATTTATCAACCAATTCAGTCTGGTAGATGTGAGCGACAAAAGTATTTAGATATGATTTAAGTGTGAATATTTAAAATGTGCTTGATTTTAAACCCTGTTCCGTGATAAAGGGAATGCGTTCTTTCATCTTCCAGTTTAAAGTAATTCTATTCTGCAGACACTTTTTTGAAACGCACACGGCGGCAGTAGAAGTGAGCTCAAATACACAAGAGGCCGGTATTTGATTTTGAATTATGTAGCTGATGCAGATTCATTCAAATATTTCATATTGGCTCATTAAATGTCTTTGTTAACAGCATTAGTTGATCCAATGTCCTCCATTAAAACCACAGCAGGTGTGGCCTTCATGCTCACTCAGATGAAACGGCACCTATCCGAGTGGTGTAAAGCAGACACTTCACACTTATTGTTTGATGTGTAATACATGAAAACTTCCTCACTATTCCTGGTTCTCACCTGCTCAGCGGCGTGTGCTGTGTTTCACAATCATTAGCGAGTGATGCATGAGAGACGATACGCATTTTACACCGTGAGGGGGAAATAAAAATAAACAAGGTGTATGCTTGCTGTGTGTACTCTGCCTAACGCACTCGCTCTGTCTGTCTCCAACAGTAAACCCCGATCTCTGGCAGAGAGGAGTGAACGTGTCAGTGGACTCATCGGTCTGACGTCCAGACCTCAGCGGTAGCAGCAGGATCTCTGTCTGAACCAGGACTTTAAACACACAGGAGCTGAACACTGAGGGGGGGAAGTGACTTACCAGAGAGGGAGAGAAAAAAAAAATCCTGACAGTGATGAACGTCACTGATTTCCAACCATCCCTGCCTTTCACCCTTGACAAAAAATTATATCAATTTAATAATAATGTGTATGTGTGACATACGGTAGTGCGTATACGGCTGTAGTCTTATGTGTTTGACATAAATGAAAGACTTTCATGGCCACATTAAACCCCCTTTGATTCAATGCTATAAGACTTTAAAACATGAGGACTTCCAAGTGGGGCGAATACTTTTTATAGGCACTGTTCAGCATATTCTAGTTCACACAAGCACTGCGCTCCAACGGGCTCTACAGTCCGGCCCACTCACTCTGCAGAGCAGCACACTGAAATGTGCAAGTACTGAACTTATTTCAAATCAGAAGAGACTTCATCTAAGAGTTTGGTCTTTGGCGATTAGTGGAGACAAGGCCAGTAGATCGGTGGTGGTGGTGAAGAGATGGATGGATGGATGTGATGAGGACTGGAGGGGTCGCATTGATTTCCTACTGAAATGATAACTGGCAGCAGCAGAGAGGAGAACGCTTTTGAAATGTTGACAGCAGTGATGCGATTGGTTCGCTGAGATCCTGGGATGATCTGGTTGGTTAACTGAAAGAGTGAACGCCCACTGTCAGCTGATTAGAGAGACGAAGAGAGAGAGGGAGAATAAACGAGAAGCATTTGTGAGTGAACTTCAGCTAATTTATTAATGTTTATGTATCTAATCAGGAAGTCTCATTGAGATTAAGATGAGAGACGAGAAACATTCACAAGAACTCGATCAGCAAAACAGAAGGAACACAACAATCATAAAAACCTATCAGATAATGAAGTTTCAAAATCTCCAAAGAGGAATGTAAGACTCTAGTTTGATGACAGTGTGCAGTTCATTCCATTTAAAAAGTACCTGAAACCAGTTCTGCCAATATTAGTGTGTACATGAGGGATTTCTAAGGTTAAGTACTGGGTCAGGTACTGTAGTTACACAATTTAAGTATTTTAAATCTAATAACTACGGTAGATTATTCAGATCCTTATCTTCATCAGGATACGCTGTACCCTCATCTGGCATCAAGCTGTCAATGATGACCTTCAAAACATCTGGTTATCGTTGGGTCAATATCCCAAATATGTCTCCTGAGAGCAGCCGCATGTAGACGTCAGTGTGCTGAGTGACGAGTGAGTGTTGGAGGGCTCTGCTTGTGCTCATGGAACTGGAGTTACAATGATAACCATCGTTCGGCCAATAAACAGAACGTCGACTCCGTCGTCCTCACATTTCCAGTAGTGAACATATTCTGTTTAGTTTCTAGAGATAGAATTAAAACGCATCGTTTCCTTTCATTCACAGCGTTATCATTTATTATTTATATCAAACTTGTTTTTGCAATTTTTTATTCCTGAGCTTTTCTTCTTTTATTACTGTGAGCGTTTATTTATTTGTCTGTTTGTATTTTATTCTAATCTCAGCAGTTTTCTGCTGCTTTTTCACTCTGAAATGCTTCAATGTTTATTTTTTTTCTATTTGCATCCAAAGAACTTTTTGTTTTCTATAAATCAATCCCTGCAGCTTTTTTTTGTAGTTCTTTTGTTCTTCTTTTAGTTTCTTGTGTAAAGTCAGTGTTACTACTTTTTCCTCTGCACCTCCTGTGAGGAAACGGCTCTTGTCTCCACAACAGAAGGCATCAATAGCAACACTGAGGCAGCAGACATTGTCGGCCATTATATCGTAGCCTTCACATCATTGCGATGTCTTCCAGTGTTGCCCCCTTTTTTCTCGGACAGATGCGCACAAATCATTTGTAACGATAGAAGTTATCATATTTTATTTTCCGTGGGAAACAAATCAACATATCAGTGACAGTTGCTACATCCGGTCGCCCCTCTCACCTCCTCACAATAACAAATCCACTGACTGGACATTTCAAACGTTTGTAGATGTAGAGCATCCGTCGTAGTATTTGCGCTCGATATCGTACCTGTTATCTGTATCTTTGAATGAACACAGTGCGTCGTTGCGGTGTTGACTTGGTGCGACGCGGCACGTTTGTAAATGGGGTTGAATGTTGTTTGCACTTATCAAGAGGACCTGAAGATGAACTATAGTGATAGAGGCCAAATAAACATGCATCGCGTTTATGTTCTGCTCACACAGGCTGATGTTTAGGCAGCGTTTCTTTCCTTTTTTTAGGATTATCAAGTGTGTGCGTGTGTGTGTGTGTGTGTTGGTGCAGTCAATCACAGTCATTGTAGGGTTAGTGTTTACTGTAGTCTCTCTGTGGTGGACATCTTAAGGACTCTCGAGTAAGACTTAAGTTAAAGTCCAAACAAACTGATTTTTTAAATAAACTTCAGAAACTGTATCTTCGGTCGGTCGGTCGGTGCGTTTCTGTGTGTGTTCGTGTGTACGGGAGGACGCATTGTTAAAGAATAATAAATAGAGATCAGATTGTTCCCATGACGTGTAGTGGCCAGTTTGTAATCAGTTTGCTGTTGTTCATCAGATGGAGACCATAGCAGCAATATTTTGTACAGTCTAGCTTTTATGTTCATTTTTATTGCCTTATTGAGACATTTTACGTGTAGGCCTATATATATTTTTTTTTTTTGCTGTTGTATTTATTTTTTCTTTCTCATAGTTGTGCTCCTGAGAATGTGTACATAAAAGTATAAATACAAAGATATACAAATATATTTTCCATTTGAATCGGAGAATATTATTTTTATTTGGTTTTATTTTTGCTGCTGGGCAAGAAAACGATTGCGATCGACATGATTTACTGTACCACGTTCTTCAGTGTGTTTATTGAGATGCAGCTGCTGTATATTTATGGTCTGTACACCACTGCTGTTTCTTGGTAACGTGTCCAGCATTGAGAGATCTGTGGGTTTTACTGATACATGCAAATCAATAAGGTTTCTTCCAGCTGTGTTGTGTACGTGTTTTCAAATCGCTGTGTGCCCTCATCCAATAAGGAGAGTCCTTTACAGAGACATAGCATGGTTTAAAAAAAAGAAAAAAAAGAATATGCATATCAGACATGTGTATTTATGTATATCTGTGTATATTCATCTATTTATACCTGAGGATAAATAGATGGCTGTGTGTGTGTGTGTGTGTGTGTGTGTGTGTGTGTGTGTGTGTGTTTGGACTCAATCAGAATGAATACAAAATAAAGCAGTTCTATGAATTGTTGTTCATGGAGATAATGTCCTATCATATTTTTTATTGATTCCTTGTTGAAATCAAGCAGCACCGACGCATTTCAGTTGTCGCGCATTAACTCCTGAGTTCACAAGTCATAAGGTCCATAAGAGTGTGTGGGTTCTTAGATTTCATGATTGAGTTTGACAAAATGTACAAACAAAAGCCTTCAGTTTGACTGTATTTTAGGGATCAAATAGCATAAAAGGTTTACACATCAAGTATGACATTCATATGGCTAGATTTATATGTAAAAAAGCAGAATTATATAATAGAAAATATAAGATCAATACCAAACAATGACCATAATACATTGTTTTACCATCACATGGTCATTGCTGTATGTGCTTTTAACTTTCTCCGGCATATTTGACACATTCCAGGACGGTTGCTTCTTCTTCAGTTACAGCAAATTGTGTGTATATGTATATGTATATGTATAGAAAGTTAAAAGCACATACAGCAATGACCATGTGATGGTAAAACAA